CACTATTACTTCTGTCCTTCTAAGAGAACACTGACTAATACAGATTTTGGTACCAGGAGTGGTTCTAGAGGAACAGGATATTAAGCAGGATATTAAGGATGGAGTTCTTTCATTGGTTTTGGGGTTTCTGGAGTTGGCTGCTTAATATGATTAGGCCCCCAAATGCTAAGCACTCTACTTCTAATAGTATGGAGAACACTGATATTCCTTGGCTATCTGTTTGTGTGCCAGAGGATGGGAAATAAATCTGACTAAAATTCAGGGAACTTCTACCTCAGTAAAATTTCTAGGGGTCTGGTGGTATGGGGCCTGCCAAGATATTCCTTCTAAGGTGAAGGATAAGTTGCTACATTTGGCCTCTCCTACAACCAAGAAAGAGGTACAACGCTTAGTTGGCTTATTCGGATTTTGGAGGCAACACAGTCCTCATTTGGATGTGTTACTCTAGCCCATTTATCAAGTGACCCAAAAGATTGCCAGTTTTGAGTGGGGTCCAGAACAGGAGAAGGCTCTGCAACAGGTCCAGAATGCTATGCAAGCTGCTGTGCCACTTGGGCCATATGACCCAGCAGATCCAATGGTGCTTGAGGTGCCAGTGGCAGATAGGGATGCTATTTGGAGCCTTTGGCAGGCCCCTTTAGGTGAATCACAGTGGAGGCCTCTAGGATTTTGGAGCAAGGCCCTGCCATCTTCTGTAGATAACTACTCTCCTTTTGAGAGACAACTCTTGGCCTGTTACTGGTCTTTGGTGGAAACTGAATGTTTGACTATGGGTCATCAAGTCACCATGAGACCTGAACTGCCTATCATGAACTGGATGCTTTCTGACCCATCTAGCCATAAGGTGGGTTGTGCACAGCAGAATTCCATCATCAAGTGAAAGTGGTATATATGTGATGGGGCTCAAGCAGGTCCTGAAGGCACAAGTTACATGAGGAAGTGGCTCAAATGTCCATGGTCCCCACTCGTGCCACCCTGCCTTCTCTCCCCCAGCCTGCACTGATGGCCTCATGGGGAGTTCCCGATGATGAGTTGACAGAGGAAGAGTAGGGCCTGGTTCACAGATGGTTCTGCATGATATGCAGGCACCACCTGAAAGTGGACTGCTATACCACTACAGCCCTTTTCTAGGACAGCGGTGAAGGAAAATCTTCCTAGTGGGCAGAACTTCAAGCAGTGCACCTGGCTGTGCACTTTGCAGAGAAGGAGAAATTGTTGCAGGAAGTCAGGGACCCTGAATGGAGGGATTGGCTGAAGCCATGGCAGAAGAACATAAATTGTGAAGATTTCATGGACATTTATTCGTTCCCCAAATTAATGCTTTTATAATTTCTTATTCCTGTCTTTACTGCAATTTCTGAACATAAATTGTGAAGATTTCATGGACACTTGTCACTTCCCCAATCAATACCTCTGTGATTTCCTATGCCTGTCTTTACTTTAATCTCTTAATCCTGTCATCTTCGTAAGCCAAGGAGGATGTATGTCACCTCAGGACCCTGTGATAATTGTGTTAACTGCACAAATTGTAGAGCATGTGTGTTTGAACAATATGAAATCTGGGCACCTTGAAGAAAGAACAGGATAACAGTAATATTCAGGGAACAAGGGAGAGAACCTTAAACTCTGACTGCTGGTGAGCCGGGCAAAACAGAGCCATGTTTCTCTTCTTTCAAAAGCAAATAGGAGAAATATCGCTGAATTCTTTTTCTCAGCAAGGAACATCCCTAAGAAAGAGAATGCGCCCCTGAGGGTAGGCCTCTAAAATGGCTGCTTTGTGGGTGACTGTCTTTTACTGTCGTAAGCAGAGGGATGAAATAAGCCCCGGTCTCCCGTAGTGCTCCCAGACTTATTAGGATGAGGAAATTCCCTCCTAATAAATTCTGGTCAGACTGGTTGTCTGTGCTCAAACCCTGTCTCCTGATAAGACACTACCAATGACAATGCGTGCCTGAAACTTCATTAGCAATTTTAATTTCGCCCTGTCTGTGGTCCTGCCTCCATTTGCTTTGTGATATTTTATTACCTTGTGAAGCATGTGATCTCTGTGACCCACACCCTATTCGTACACTCCCTCCCTTTTTAAAAATTGCTAATAAAGACTTGCTGGTTTTATGGCTCAGGGAGCATCACAGAACCTGCCAACATGTGATGTCTCCCCTGGACACCCAGCTTAAAAATTTCTCTCTTTTGTACTCTTTCCCTTTATTTCTCAGACCAGCCAACATTTAAGGAAAATAGAAAAGAACCTACATGAAATATCAGGGGTGAATTTCACCTGATGAGAAATGGCCAGATGTGCAATTATATACTGATTCATGGACTATAGCCCATGGTTTGGCTTGATGGTCAGGGACTTGGAAGAAGCATGATTGGAAAACTGGTGACAAAGAACTTTGGGGAAAAGATATGTGGATGGATGTCTCTGAGTGGTTAAAAAAAAAAAAAAAAAAAAAAAACTGAAGATATTGGTATCCCATGTGAGTGCTCACCAATGGGTAACCTCAGCAGAGGACAATTTTAATAATCAAGTGGCTAGGATGGCCCATTCTATGGACAACACTCAGCCTCTTTCCCCAGCCACCCTTGTCATTGCCCAATGGGCCCATGGTGGCAAGGATGGAGGTTACGCATGGGCTTAGCAACATAGACTTCCACTCACCAAGGCTGACCTAGTTACAGCCACTGCTGAGTGCCCAATTTGCCAGCAGCAGAGACCAACACTGAACCTCGATATGGTACCATTCCTTGGGGTGATCAGCCAGCTACCTGGTGGCAGGTTGATTGTATTAGACCTCTTCCATCATGGAAAAAGCAGAGGTTGTCCTCACCAGAACAGACACTTACTCCGGATATGGGTTTGCCTATCCTACATGCAGTGCTTCTGCCAAGACTACCATCTGTGGACTCACAGAATGCCTTATACACCATCATGGTATTCCATGCAGCATTCCCTCTGACCAAGGCACTCACTTTATGCTTAAAGAAGTGCAACAGTGGGCTCATGCTCATGGAATTCACTGGTCTTACCATGTTCCCCACCATCCTGAAGCAACTGGATTGATGGAATGGTGAAATGGCCTTTTGAAGTCACAATTACAACACCAACTAGGTGACAATACTTTGCAGGGCTGGGGCAAACTTCTCCAGAAGGCTATGTATGCTCTGAATTAGAGTCCAGTATATGGTACTCTTTCTCCCATAGCCAGCATTCGTAGGTCCAAGAATCAAGGGGTAGAAGTGAAAGTGGCATACTCACCATCACCCCTAGTGATCCACCTAGAGAAATTTTTGCTTCCCTGTTCCCACGACATTACGTTCTGCTGGCCTGGAGGTCTTAGATCCAGAGGGAGGAACACTGCCACCAGGAGACACAACAATGATTCCATTAAACTGGAAGTTAAGATTGCCACCTGGATACTTTGGGCTCCTCCTATCTTCAAGTCAACAGGCTAAGAAGGGAGTTACAGTGTTGAATGACATGATTGACCCACATTATCAAGATGAAATCAGTCTACTACTCCACAACAGATGTAAGAAAGTGTACGCATGGAATACAGGAGATCCATTAGGGTGTCTCTTAGAATTACCATGCCCTGTGATTAAGGTCAATGGGAAACAACAGCCCAATCCTGGCAGGACTACAAATGATCCAGACCCTTCAGGAATGAAGGTTTGGGTCACTCCACCAGGGAAAAAAAAAAAAAAAAAACACCTGCTGAGGTGCTTGCTGAAAGCAAAGGTAATACAGAATGGGTAGTAGAAGAAGGTAGTCATAAATACCAGCTATGACCATGTCACCAGCTGCAGAAACGAGGACTGTAACTGTCATGAGAATTTCCTCCTTCTTTTGCTAGAAACAGGTTTGTGCATGTATACTCTGATACTAAGAAAATATCTTCATTTTATTTCCTTTTCCTCTATCATGTGACATAAGATTTATTGACTTCATATCAGCATTTAAGAATTGTTAACTTTATGCAATAGTATTTGGGTTGGGGATTAGTGCGTTTCTGGTTGTACGAAGGATAGTTATATTATGTTAGTGTAATTATGACCTTATTATTGTCTTTATTTGAAGATTATGTATGATCTCAGGAGATGTGTATGGGTTCAAGTAGACAAGAGGTGGACTTGTGATGGTTAACACTGTCAACTTGATTGGATTGGGAGATACAAAGTATTAATCTTGGGTGTGTCTTTGTGAGTGCTGCCAAAAGAGATTAACATTTGAGTCAGTGAGCTGGGGAAGGCAGATCCACCCTTAATCTGGTGGGCACAATCTAATCAGCTTCCGGCAAATATAAAGCAGGCAGAAAAAAACGTGAAAAAAGACAGATGGGCCTAGCCTCCCCAACATCTTTCTCTGGTGCTGGATGCTTCCTACCCTCGAACATCAGACTCCAAGTTCTTCAGTTTTGGGACTTGGACTGGCTCTCTTTGCTACTCAACCTGCAGACAGCCTATTGTGGGACCTTGTGATCGTGTAAGTTAAAGTTAATACTTAATAAACTCCCATATATATATACATATATATATATATATCCTGTTAGTTCTGTCCAAGAGAACCCTGACTAATACACACCATATCTGCTGTGAACTAACAATAATAATAATAATATGAAATTACTATGTAATGAGGATATATAACTTACCAGGAACTATGCTGAGTGCATTATATGCATTATCTAATGTATTTCTCACATCAACCCTAGGAGAAATATATTATGATGGCATTTTTACTGGTGAGGAATCTGACCAGTAAAACTATGTATTTTAAGGCAAATTATATCATTTGCCTTACCTATGCCCTTCCATATTGGTTTCCAATCTACCACAACCTAGGCCTAGAAAGGATGGCATATTGGGTCAGACCATGGTTCCTTCCAGGAGGTTTCAAGTCTCTAAAGATCACCCCAATGGTTATTTTCTGAAGAAGGTACTCTCAAGGAGTGTATTCTCTAAGCAAAATGCATGGAGCCTGCTCTGACACCACTCACCTCTCTTATCAGCCATTCCAGCCAGTCTGGCCTTCTCTCCGGGTCCACTGAAGCCAAGATGGTGCCACTGCACTCCAGCCTGGGCAATAGAGAGGCTCTGTCTCAAAAACAAACAAACAGAGATTAGGGGTACAGGCAGAGAAAGACACCAGACACGTTCACCCATAGACAGATGACCAGTTGAACGTACACTAAGAAAGTGACCATCTGCAAGCCAAGGACAGAGGCCTCAGAAGAAATCAAATCTGGCGACATTATGATCTTGGACTTCTAGCCTCCAGAACTATGAGCAAATAAATTCCTGCTATTTAAACCACCCAGTCCATGGTATTTTGTTATAACAGCCCTAGCAAACCAACACGGTTCTCTTCTGAGAAGAAGGACTTGCTGAAGGCCTGGTGTGATGGAGAGACAGCTGGGATGCTCACATGCACAGACCAGATGCAGCTGCTACTGCAAGTTCTTTATTTATTCTTCCCTGCCCTTTATCTAGAGAGCTCCAGTGCTCTTGCGCGGGCTGCATGGGGGTGAAGGGGAAGGGAGGTCTACAGGAATAAATACACAAGACCAACCTCCCTGTTTAAGGTGAGTGCAGGGTCAGCTCCTAGGAAATGAAATGGTATTCACAGCAGAGAGGTTGTTTATCCTGAAGCACCAGATGTTGTACTAGGCTGAACCGGGCAGTGGCGCCTCCAGCCTGTCTTACCTTGGCTCAGACTAGCTTGGGTCTGGGAGCATAAGCCCATGCTGCCAGCTCCCTGCCCTCTCTCAGGCCCACATGCACAGCAGCAAAAGCAGGTAGACTAGAGGACAAAGCCCCAACCAGGGACACCAATGATGGAAACATTCAGCTGGTTTCTTTTACATGATGTTGCCTAAGTGACTCACCTCTCTGTCGTCATCTACTAAATAACGTCCCCCTCCCTGCCTTATTAGCTTGGTGTGAGGGTAAGTATGATCATATCTCTGTAAGTGCTTTCAGAGGGCACCCAAGGTCTCTGTAGTGCTGAGGACTGTTGAAACTGTTGTGTTATTACTCTTTGCAGGAAAGTGTGGTTGGAAAACTCAGAAAGATAGAAAAACCAAGAAGCAGACTGAGGGAAGACTTGGGGACTTCGAGGCTGAAGAAACTCAGAAGGCCCAAAACAAAGTTGAACTTAGTTGTTATGGCCCAGGAACTGACTCTGGGTGGACAGAGAGGTCTCTAGAGCCAAGAGATGTCATAGCCATTTACTCCTCCCCAGTTCCCATCCTCCACAGAGTTCAGAGCTCCGTAGAGAGTGTAGAGGTTCATCTGGATTAGTGTCTGCTTTTTAGGGAAAATAATCGTTATGATGCCATGTTCTCTGTGATGGCCACCTCAGATGGGATGCAGGTGGTGGAGTAGAGGCATGCTGGTGTACAGGAGAAGTGGAAGATGGAGTGATGCATAATGGGTGGTTCTAAAGGCTGGATCCAAGACTAGCTTGGGATGCAACCACCATACAATACCGTTCTCCGTCCAGAAACCTACCAGGGCCATCAAGCAAAACCTTTGGAAAAGAGAAGGCACAGAGAGAACAGTAAATTATAAAGAAGCTTGTTTCCTTGCAGTCAGGCTGGGACAAACTTCAGGAAGAAGCAGAATGACATTCAACAAAGACAGATTTTCCCCACCCACTTCATGCCAAAGAAGGACAATCACATGCCTACCTCTCAGAAACTTTCTCTAGAAGGAGAGAAAAGGAGAAAAGAGATTCCGAAATGGAAAATCATTTCAGCCTGTTCTTTTTTAACAGCTTTATTAAAGTATAATATGGTGTACCTTTTCTTTTTCTTTTTCTTTTTTTTTTTTTTTTTTTCATTGAGACGGTGTCTCACTCTGATGCCCAGGCTGGAGCACAGTGGCACGATCTCAGCTCACTGCAATCTCCACCTCCTGGGTTCAAGCGATCCTCTCACCTCAGCCCCCCAAGTAACTAGGACTACAGGCCTACAGGCGTGTGCCACCATGCCAAGCTAGTTTTTGTAGTTTTAGTAGAGTCAGTGTTTCACCATGCTGGCCACCCTGGCCTCAAACTCCTGACCTCAAGTGATCCACCCACTTTGGCTTCCCAAAGTGCTGGGATTACAGGCATGAGCCACTGCACCCAACCTCAGTGTACCTATTTAAAGCGTACAATGTTATGAGTTTCAACATATGTGTGCACCAGTAAAGCCATCACCACAGTCAAGACAACAAACATCTTCATCATACCTAAAATATCCTGTGCCCCTTTGTAATCCATCCCTACCTCTACTCCCATCCTCAAAACACCACTGATGTGCTTTCTGTCACTATAGATTAATTTGTATTTTGTAGAATTTTTTTATGAATGGAATTATACAGCACCTACTCTGCATCAATAATTTGTTCCTTGTTATTACGAAGCATCATTCCCTTATATGGATATGTCACAATTTGCTTATCCATTCACCTGGCAATGGCCATTTGGGTTGTTTGCAATATTTGGCAGCCACAAATAAAGTTGCCATGAACCTGTGTAAGAGGGTATAAAAGCAGGCCAATATTTGACTATGGTGTGCCCAGGGCAGGGATCATCTCTCCTTGACAATTCTATTCATGATGACTCTAAAGCTTTCTGTTTTATAAGACTTTAGGGTTTAAGATGTTTAACCTTCATGGCCCTGTTAGGTATTCAGGTAGGTGATGTAGGTTTTAGGCACAACGGCAGGAAAGAGAACACGCTGATCACCTGCTACGTCCAGGCACTGCACTCAGTGTTGTGGGGTCAGAAGGGATATATGACATGCCCTGAAGGATCTTGCATTTTAACACTTTGCAGATGAGGGCACTGAAGCCCTAAGCAGCTGGGAACCTTGTCCAGGGACACTCAAGTGAGAAGTGCTAGCTAAGAAGCAGAACCCAGGTAGTCAATCTTCCTGTCCAATGAGTCCTCCACACACATGCTGTGTGTGGGTCCCATCTGAACTGGATCATGACCGAGAGACAAAAAGGAGGACAGGGAGGGAGCAAGGTAAAGAACAAGTATGCAAAGTTATATCCTACCCGATGACCCTCCTTCCCTGACACACGCCAGCCAGAGCTCCAGCAGACATCCCCTGCATCTCTGGCTCCATTTCCAACCTGGCTCATAACTTCCTACTCTTGTCCCTTTTCCTTCACCTGTGGCTAGACTGTTATCTGTGAGGAGAAAATGATGAAGAGTCTTTCCCACATGAGGAAACGGGTTCTGAGCCTTTCGAGCTGATCCAGGGCTCCCCTTTCTTGAGTTATTTTGTAGAGACAATTGCTTAACACCTCCCAGAATCAAATTTCTGTTTTAGAAGGAATCCCTGTCTTACTGTACCCACCATATTGTGGCGGGTCTTGCAGGTGGCCAAGTCAGGAGAGAGTTCCATGATCATTGGCTCTTGTCCCCAGCCTCCATGGGTAGGTACAGCTGGGAATAGAAAAGGGACACAGATTAAGAAGCCTCAGGCCCTGCTTCGGGGGCAATCAGTGTGGTAAGAATACAAGACCCCCACACGTATATCAGTGCTTCATTTCTTTTAATGGCGTTAGTATATTTTATTGTACAGATATGCCACATTTTGTTTATCCATTCATCAGCTGATGGACATTTGAAATGTTTCCACTTTTTAGTTATTACGAATAATGCTGCTATGAATATTTACATTTTGGTGTGCAGAGGAGTGCATATGACAGAGACAATAAGCTCATCTTACAGCTTTGCAACAGGCATAACAAGGCTGACAGGCAGCTAGAGGGACTGGAGAGTTTGGTGGGCTCAGTCTCGGAAGACCGCCTGGAGGAGGCAACTTTTGAACCACTCTTAAAAACTTTATTTTAATACAGGGAGAAGAGGGGCCAGGGTGAGCTGGGCTAATGGGTAGGAGGTGAAAGACAAAAAGAAGGTATTCTAGGCAGGCTGAGAAATACAGACTTCCCTTTCAGAAGCTTGGGTATGGATTGGACTATCAGGTAGATCAAGGAAGAAGAACAAGAACTAATCTTTGATGAGTAGACTTTGTGCTTCAGGTATGATTCCCATATGAGCCTCATTAGCTCATTAACCTTATTCTAAAACGAAGCTTTCTATGGAAAGAGCTCAGGATCTAAAGTCAAACAGCCCTAATTCCCCCACTTAGTGCTTATGTGATTTTAACCTGAGTCTCAGTTTATTTGTACATAAAATGGAGAATATAGCGACCATCCTCTACTCCATGCCATGCCATGGTACATAGTGCCAATGCACATCTAAAACACAGAAGCAATGCCAGAACAAAGGACCCTCCCACAAACCACTCAGGGCTGTCTCCAGCATGCACCTTCCTCCGGCTCTGTTCTGTTCTGAGTGTTTTCAAGAGGAGCCTTTAGGAAGAGCCCTCTCTGAAACCCTGAGTCTGCCCAGGAGAACCTGGCAGGCACCAAAAACACACGATCTGCTCAAGGGAAATAGATGGATCCCACTTAGCAGAAGAGCTCCTTAGCCAAACCACAGGAAAGCCTTGGCCACAGATCTTGCAGCGACTTCTCTAGGTTTGGGCAGGGGAAAGTGGTCTGCTTTTCAGGGCTGAAACACAGCCTGCAGCACCCCCAGGCACGAGCTGTCTGGAAAGGCTGGCGCCCCACCAGGCACTCCAGACACGGCCCTTAAGCCTGAGCATGCTGGGGCCTGGGAGCCTCAGGGCACAGCATTTCCAGTCTCTGGCTGTAATCACAGCTAATTGAATGTCTGCTGATGCCAAAATTGGCTCCTGATTGAATTCAGAACTTTTGTTTAATTAATTATCATCCACCTGAGCACTGCTGCTTCCCTCAGACCAGGTGGTTAACTGTTTCCTCTCTTCTGAGACTCTTGTCTTCCCCCTGAGCCCTGACACTTGTACTAAAGGGTTCATCTGCTTCCGGGGAGACGCCTCACTCCGGTTGCAAAGAGCATGAGGCAAAATGTCAAGGAGTCAAGAAAGTGGGGCCGGGCGCGGTGGCTCAAGCCTGTAATCCCAGCACTTTGGGAGGCCGAGATGGGCGGATCACGAGGTCAGGAGATCAAGACCATCCTGGCTAACACGTTGAAACCCCATCTCTACTAAAAAAAAATACAAAAAACTAGCCGGGCGACGTGGCGGGTGCCTGTAG